TAGTTAGTAGTTAGTTAGTAGTAGTTAGTTAGTAGTTAGTTAGTTAGTTAGTTAGTTAGTTAGTTAGTTAGTTAGTAGTTAGTTAGTAGTAGTTAGTAGTTAGTTAGTTAGTTAGTTAGTTAGTAGTTAGTTAGTTAGTTAGTAGTTAGTTAGTTAGTTAGTTAGTAGTTAGTTAGTTAGTTAGTTAGTTAGTTAGTTAGTTAGTTAGTTAGTTAGTTAGTTAGTAGTTAGTTAGTTTTAGTTAGTTAGTTAGTTAGTTAGTTAGTTAGTTAGTTAGTTAGTTAGTTAGTTAGTTAGTTAGTTAGTAGTTAGTATTAGTTAGTTAGTTAGTAGTTAGTTAGTTAGTTAGTTGTAGTTAGTTAGTTAGTTAGTAGTAGTTAGTTAGTTAGTTAGTTAGTTAGTTAGTAGTTAGTTAGTTAGTTAGTTAGTTAGTTAGTTAGTTAGTTAGTTAGTAGTTAGTAGTTAGTTAGTTAGTTAGTAGTTAGTTAGTTAGTTGGTTAGTTAGTTAGTTAGTTAGTTAGTTAGTTAGTTTAGTTAGTTAGTAGTTAGTTAGTTAGTTAGTAGTTAGTTAGTTAGTTAGTTAGTTTAGTGTAGTAGTAGTTAGTTAGTTAGTTAGTTAGTAGTTAGTTAGTTAGTTAGTTAGTTAGTAGTTATTTAGTTAGTTAGTTAGTTTAGTTAGTTAGTTAGTTAGTTAGTTAGTTAGTAGTTAGTTAGTTAGTTAGTTAGTTAGTAGTTAGTTAGTTAGTTAGTAGTTCGTTAGTTAGTTAGTTAGTTAGTTAGTTAGTTAGTAGTTAGTTAGTTAGTTAGTTAGTTAGTTAGTTAGTTAGTAGTAGTTAGTTAGTTAGTTAGTTAGTTAGTTGTTAGTTAGTTAGTTTAGTTAGTTAGTTAGTTAGTTAGTTAGTTAGTTAGTAGTTAGTTAGTTAGTTAGTTAGTTAGTTAGTTAGTTAGTTAGTTAGTTAGTTAGTTAGTAGTTAGTTAGTTAGTTAGTAGTTAGTTAGTTAGTTAGTTAGTTAGTTAGTTAGTAGTTAGTAGTAGTTAGTTAGTAGTTAGTTAGTTAGTTAGTTAGTTAGTAGTTAGTTAGTTAGTTAGTTAGTAGTTAGTTAGTTAGTAGTTAGTTAGTTAGTTAGTTAGTTAGTAGTTAGTTAGTAGTATAACTGGCCCTTTTCCCTTTATTATTCAATTAATATTATCTCATATTGTATTAATAAATTTATTTTCTACTTTATTTATGATCTGTTTTGTTTCCGTCTCTTCTCTCGTCGGTTTCTTGTAACTAGGTCTACAATAGTAATAAAAAATTTAATCATATTGATGCTACTCACGTTCATTGTGCAACATTTATGAACGAACCGTGATCACTTTGCTATTACACCGATGAAGACGACAGACATACATACATACATACATGCAAACATGTTTATTTTGACTACAAACAAAACCACTCAAACTTTTCATCGTGTTAACGCTGTAGTTTTAACAAATTTGTTAAATGCAATGCAAAAATACGCTACATAAAACGTAAACAAAAGTAGGAAGTCGGTGGAACAGCAAAAAGATAAAAACTAAAACTCTAAATAAAATTATTAGATAATCATGGAAGTTCAAGTTAATGCAAGATTCATTTGCAATTGTAGTAGACATGATGATCGTTTTAAAAAACGGACCCGTGGTTTACAAAAAACAAAAACAGTATGTTAATTTTGCGCAAAAAAATTGTTGAAAAACAAACAAACTGACATGTTTTAGTGTCATTATGTTAAGAGGTTTAAATTTTGTAGGTAAATAATCACTTAAATGAACTTTTTGTGTTTACATCGGAGTATGTAGTTAAAAAATCAGATAGTTGGAGGTTTTGAAGCAAAATTGTTATAGTGAAGGAGATACGATGGGGTTCATATGCAGAGGCTATTACTTGTAAAAAAGACCCCCAGCGATTGTAAACAGTTCATAAATAATTAAACAAGGGTGTCAAATGTTTGGCTTACAAAACTTAGGGGCTGATAAGTCGTAATTTGATATTAAAATATTTCAAAGTTTTTGAAAGACAATTCACACAATTTTTGCAAAAAGGAACAATTTATGTCAATTTATTTTTATAAAATGACAGTAAATAACACTATTATGTTCCCAGTAATTATGCTCCAATTAATCTCAATATAAACTATTGTTTTGCAATTTCCTTTGATCCCATGTTGATCTCAATTATAAATGAAAAATATTTCGAAACGCCATAACAAATAAAGTCAGTAGTTCAATACTTTAAAAAAACAATTTTCCATAAATATACTTAATAAAACTTTTCCGCTTAATAACTTATGTAAATAGGCTCAAAGTCTGGACATTCATAGAGTAATATCAAGTTAAAGTACCTGGTATTTGGTTTATTAAATGGCGCCAAAATTAAAAAAATATATACAGAAACATAATTTTCAAACATGCTGTCACAATTACAGCTGGTCTGGTCTGATCAGTTTTGAAAACGAGTCCCACTAGTTGTATGGAAAAATAAAATTAATATTAAAATAATAACAACAACAGTATTTGTTTTTAAACCGTTATAGAAGGAGCAGACAATTTGTGGAAGAGATAAACACAAAAACTTCCGGTACTTTTACTTTCCTTTTTCTTTGGAAAAATGCAATAAAAGAAATACAAAAAAAAACTTGACTATGACGTAGTATTGGAAAATGAGAAAAAATACTAAAAATAAACTTGTTTGTTAATAAGGATATTCACTTGTGGGAGTTACTATTAACATGGGTTTCCATCGTATACAGTGCTCAAAAAAATAAAAGCTTTCATTAGATAAAGTTTTTTATACAAAAGTTTTCGTTAGATAAAGTTTTCGTTAGACAAAGTTTTCTATAGAAAAGTTTCCTTAGACAAAGTTTTCTATAGAAAAGCTTTCGTTAGACAAAGTTCTCTATAGGAAAGCTTTCGTTAGACAAAGTTTTCTATAGAAAAGCTGTCGTTAGACAAAGTTTTCGTTAGGAAAGGTTTTTTAGACGAAGTTTTCTATAAAAAAGTTTTCGTTAGACAAGTTTTCTATAGAAAAGTTTTCGTGAGACAAAGTTTTCTATAGGAAAGTTTCGTTAGACAAAGTTTTCTATAGAAAAGCTTTCGTTAGACAAAGTTTTCTATAGAAAAGCTTTCGTTAGACAAAGTTTTATATAGAAAAGATTTCGTTAGATAAAGTTTTCGTTAGACAAAGTTTTCTATAGAAAAGTCTTCGTTAGACAAGTTTTCTATAGAAAAGTTTTCGTGAGACAAAGTTTTCTATAGGAAAGTTTCGTTAGACAAAGTTTTCTAAAGAAAAGCTTTCGTTAGACAAAGTTTTCTATAGAAAAGCTTTCGTTAGACAAAGTTTTCTATAGAAAAGCTTTCGTTAGACAAAGTTTTCTATAGAAAAGCTTTCGTTAGACAAAGTTTTCTATAGAAAAGCTTTCGTTAGACAAAGTTTCCTATAGAAAAGCTTTCCTTAGATAAAGTTCTCGTTAGACAAAGTTTTCTATAGAAAAGCTTTCGTTAGACAAAGTTTTCTATAGAAAAGTTTTCGTTAGACAAAGTTTTCTATAGAAAAGCTTTCGTTAGACAAAGTTCTCTATAGAAAAGCTTTCGTTAGACAAAGTTTTCTATAGAAAAGTTTTCGTTAGACAAAGTTTTCTATAGAAATGCTTTCGTTAGACAAAATTTTCGTTAGGAAAGGTCTTCGAAAAGTCTTCGTTAGACAAGTTTTCTATAGAAAAGTTTTCGTGAGACAAAGTTTTCTATAGAAAAGTTTTCGTTAGACAAAGTTTTCTATAGAAAAGCTTTCGTTAGACAAAGTTTTCGTTAGACAAAGTTTTCGTTAGACAAAGTTTTCGTTAGGAAAGGTTTCTTAGACGAAGTTTTCTATAAAAAAGTTTTCGTTAAACAAAGTTTTCTATAGAAAAGTTTTCGTTAGACAAGGTTTTCTATAGAAAAGCTTTCATTAGACACAGTTTTCTATAGAAAAGCTTTCGTTAGACAAGTTAGTTAGTTAGTTAGTTAGTTTGAAAGGAGGATGTATATACATCAAATCCGAAGAAATACACCTAGGCCTCTATCGGGCCTTTTCGTTAGACAAAGTTTTCTATAGAAAAGCTTTCATTAGACAAAGTTTTCTATAGAAAAGCTTTCATTAGACAAAGTTTTCTATAGAAAAGCTTTCGTTAGACAAAGTTTTCTATAGAAAAACTTTCGTTAGATAAAGTTTTCTTTAGACAAAGTTTTTAAAAAAAAGTCGTTGGTAGAGAAGTTTTCTATAGAAAAGTTTTTGTGAGACAAAGTTTTCTATAGGAAAGTTTTCGTGAGACAAAGTTTTCTATAGGAAAGTTTTCGTGAGACAAAGTTTTTTATAGAAAAGTTTTCGTTAGACAAAATTTCTATAGAAAAGTATTCGTGAGACAATGTTTTCAAAAGAAAAGTTTTCGTGAGACAAAGTTTTGTAAAGAAAAGTTTTCGTGAGACAAAGTTTTCTATAGAAGAGTTTTCGTTAGACAAAGTTTTCTATAGAAAGGCATTCGTTAGACAAAGTTTTTTATAGAAAAGTTTTCTATAGAAAAGTTTTTGTTAGACAAATTTTCTATAGAAAAGTTTTTGTTAGACAAATTTTCTATAGAAAAGTTTTCGTTAGACAAAGGTTTCTATACAAAAGTTTGCGTTAGAAAAGTTTGGAAAAGTTTTCATTTGATAAGTTTTCTATAGAAAAGTGAACTCCCCTATTTTTCTTAATTCGTTTGCACATCATTGGATTGCATGCTGAGGATGTTCGTTTATTTCACCTAACTTTGTTTTGATGGCAAATAAGGAAAAAAAATGTGTTTTTACAAACACATAAAATGACACACGAAACATAGATTTAGGTGTTAAATTTTCTCTAGTTTTAAAAATGTTTGTGGCAACCTGTTTTTTCCGCAAAATATGATTATATAATTTAAATACACTGCTAAAAAACTATTTCAACTTTTCACTTTTTACAGAAGCTCAAGCTAAAAATGAAACCCAAGTTTATGTCACAGAATCCTGTTTGGAGAAACCATTTCGATGTCCCCATCCTAAAATACAATTTTTCCTATACACTCGACGCACACAGGATAATCCCGAATTTATAGATGTTCTTAACGATAATGCCCTATACTATACGCATTTTAATCCGCGACATCCTACCAAAATTATAATACATGGCTTTGGTGGTGGTCGTAATTTGAGTCCAAGTCCCGATATACGGCAAGCTTACTTTAGTATAGGGGAATATAATATTATTATTGTGGATTATGGTTCAGCGGTAAAGGAACCCTGTCTCAGTCAAATGGATTGGGCACCACGTTTTGGTGGTCTTTGTATATCTCAGTTGGTGAAATATTTAGCCAGACATCCGAGAGGGGTACAACCGGATGATTTACATTTTATCGGTTACAGTGTGGGTGCCCATATAGCGGGTCTGGTGGCTAACTATCTAAAACCAGGCGAGGGTAAAATGGGTAGAATTACTGCTCTAGATCCTACAATATTCTTTTATGCGGGCGCCAATAACTCAAGGGACTTGGATTCATCAGATGCTCATTTTGTGGATGTTTTACATACAGGTGCCGGTATTTTAGGTCAATGGCATTCTAGTGGTCATGCGGATTTCTACGTAAATGGTGGTACTCGTCAGCCCGCCTGTGTGGGGTCAGCTACTCTATTTCGTAAGTTTTTGTTTAATATCTTATAGGAGATCGTTTTAAATAAATAAATTGTTTTCTATTTATTTTCCAGAAACATTGGCTTGTGATCATACAAAGGTTACACCCTACTTTATTGAATCGATTACTACGAAAAAAGGTTTCTACGCCGGTCCTTGTCCAAACCTATTTACCTATCTGATAGGTTGGTGTGAACCCAAGGACTCGGAATATGTGTTAATGGGCGAACATGTATCACATAAGTAAGAAAAAATTAACCATAAAGTTATCGATTACATTTCAGAAATAACATTTTCGTTAGACTAGAAGTCTATTCTTAAGTTTCTTTTACAGAAAAGCTTTTGTTAGACAAAGTTTTTGTTAAGAGAAGTATTTTATAGAAAAGTTTTCGTGAGACTAAATTTTCTATAGAAAAGTTCTCGTTAGACAAAGTTTTCTATAGAAAAGTTTTCGTTAGACAAAGTTTTCTATAGAAAAGTTTTCGTTAGACAAAGTTTTCTATAGAAAAGTTTTCGTTAGACAAAGTTTTCTATAGAAAAGATTTCGTTAGACAAAGTTTTCTATAGAAAAGTTTTCGTTAGACAAAGTTTTCTATAGAAAAGTTTTCGTTAGACAAAGTTTTCTATAGAAAAGTTTTCGTTAGACAAAGTTTTCTATAGAAAACTTTTCTATAGAAAAGTTTTCGTTACACACAGTTCTCTATAGAAAAGTTTTGGTTAGACACAGTTTTTTATAGAAAAGTTTTCGTGAGACAAAGTTTTCTAAAGAAAAGTTTTCGTTAGACAAAGTTTTCTACAGAAAAGTTTTCGTTAGCCAAAGTTTTCTATAGAAAAGTTTTCGTTAGACAAAATTTTCTATAGAAAAGTTTTCGTTAGACAAAATTTTCTATAGAAAAGGTTTTCGTTAGATACAGTTTTCTATAGAAAAGTTTTCGTTAGACAAAGTTTTCTAAAGAAAAGTTTTCGTCAAAGTTTTATATAGAAAAGTTTTCGTTAGACAAAGTTTTCTACATAAAAGTTTTTGTTAGACACAGTTTTCTGTGAAAAAGTTTTCGTTATACAAAGTTTTCTATTGAAAAGTTTTCGTTAGACAAAGTTTCGTTATTCAAAGTTTTCTATAGAAAAGTTTCTGATGGACAAAGTTTTCGTTGTTCAATGTTTTCTATAGAAAAGTTTTTGTTAGACAAAGTTTTCTATAGAAAAGTTTTCGTTAGACAAAGTAATCTATAAAAAAGTTTTCGTTGACAAAGAAAAGTTTTTTTAGAAAAGTTTTCGTTAGGTAAAGTTTAACAAAACAAAGAAAGCTTTTATTAGAAAGTTTCATTAGACAAAGCTTTCGTTATACATTTTTATTAGAAAAACTTTTCTAATTATTATTTTTTATTTAATTTTAAATATTAACCCTGTTCCAACCTAATTCCCTAATTACAGAGCCCGTGGCACTTATTACGTCACCACCAATGCCAAGCCACCATTTGCTCGTGGTTTCCCCGGCAAAGGAAGATCAGCTACCACGGGAGAATATCAGGGTGTACGAAGGAGACGTCATCTGCCGGCATTTTAATGAAAATGATGAAAAGTGTTTTGTTAAATTTCTAAAATTTTATTAATTTTAGTTGATCTAATGTGATTTATTATTTAGTTGATTTATTTTAGTAGGTGTGTACCTTTTATTTGCATTAAGCCAATTTTGCATATTTATTGTTAAACAAATAATTTTTTAAGCAAAGGAAAAATGGAACATAAAAATGTTTTATTTTATTAAAAATTAGCTTTTTATAGAAGTATTTGGTTTAATTTTTTTTAAGTCACGATAATGATGATAAATGAGGGAAAAATAATGAAATTATTTAACATAGCTTTTTTTTAAATTAATTAAAAATTTACAAGAAAAGTATATTTCTGGTAGAATGTTCTTTAATAACTAAATTACTTTTATATATTTGTATATTCTTTTATTTTGAAAATTTTCCAAATATTCTAATATTTATTCTAATTTTATTTATGTATATAATTATCATCATTATCGTTTAAGAAAAATAGGTAACATTTAACGGTTACGGTAATGTTTTTTAAGCAGCCCTCTAGCCATTAAATCAAAGTTATTTGCATTAGTTTTAATAATGAAATAAAACTTTATCTAATCATTAGTTAATATTTTTATTAAATAACTATAAAATTTAACTATAAAAATTTAAAATTGTAAACTGTATAAAGAAAACTTTAAATAAAACTGAAATCGAATTAAAAAAAGCTTTAAGTTTAATTTAATAATGCGTTAAATTAACCAAGAAGTTACTTTTAGCAAATTCAACAACCCTGTAAATGTAAAACGTGGCAACTTTGTATTTTTACAATATTTTTCTACTTATCCAAACAAGCATACTCAACTAATGGAACTTCACTTGTGTAATTTGTTTTACAAAGGTAGTTTTACATTTTGATTACAATTGGAACCGCTGTCGACATACCACTTAAAAGCACACAAAGGGCGATAATTAAGCGACTATCAAAAGACCACATTTTGTGTCATTTATAAAGATAAATAAATAGGAATGTATAGTCGGTCATGATCGATCATATTATACCTTACTCCAGTTATGAGTGTCGACACCCTGTATTCAAAAATTTTTTACTCAATTTTGGGCCAAAGTGAGTTTTTCATGGCAAATGATTCCTCAATTCATTCTCCACGTCTGCTATAAATTTCGGATTAAAATGTTAACTATTTTTATACCCTTCACCATAGTGAACTCAACGACAACAATTCATTTCCAACACTTAGTCCCGCAGTCACTATTCTGCGGCACTTCTTCTGTGTTGTCTCTGCAGCAGCACCGAACTTATCCCGAATTATAGTCTTCACCATGCATTAGTCTTTTAACCAACACTTTATTAGAGCGAGTTTGGGTTCAAACCACAGCCAACACGTACACCACGAAGGCATGTGTCCAATAACTGGCACAAGACGTCGAATTGCAGCCGTGTCGGAATTTTTTCAACCACTGTGTGAGGGTCTTCCCATGGTACCAGATTGTGTGGTTCTCTGGTTCGACCCCATAGAGAATCATTCCAAGAAAAGGGCCGAGGATACGTTTGGTCTTCGACAGTTTATAGCCCCGACAGAGTTGAGGTACTGGTAGCACCTCTTTTCTCTGAATGCAATCACATCAAGCTAACATGCCCCCAGGTGGCAACAACTGGGACAAGAAAACTTTGCCCTGTGGACTACCGGTAGTACAAGATTATCATTCATTCAGCCCTTCGAACTAAACGAACTAACCAAACGAAACGAAAGAACGAACAAACGAACGAACGAACGAACGAACGAACGAACGAACGAACGAACGAACGAACGAACGACAAGAACGAACGAACGAACGAACGAACGAACGAACGAACGAACGAACGAACGAACGAACGAACGAACGAACGAACGAACGAAACGAACGAACGAACGAAACGAACGAACAAAACGAACGAACGAACGAACGAAACGAACGAAGAACGAACGAACGAACGAACGAACGATAACGAACGAAGAACGAACGAACGAACGAAGAACGAACGAAACGAAAGAACGAAAGAAACGAAGAAAGAACGAACGAACGAACGAACGAAACGAAAAAACGAACGAACGAACGAACGAACGAACGAACGAACGAACGAACGAACGAACGAACGAAAACGAACGAACGAACGAACGAACGAACGAACGAACGAACGAACGAACGAACGAACGAACGAAAAAGAACGAACGAACGAACGAAGAACGAACGAACGAACGAAAACGAACGAAGAACGAACGAACGAACGAACGAAGAACGAACGAACAACGAACGAACGAACGAACGAACGAACGAACGAAACGAACGAACGAACGAACGAACGAACGAACGAACGAACGAACGAACGAACGAAGAACGAACGAACGAACGAACGAACGAACGAACGAACGAAACGAACGAACGAACGAACGAACGAACGAAACGAACGAACGAACGAACGAACGAACGAAACGAAACGAACGAACGAACGAACGAACGAACGAACGAACGAAAACGAAACGAACGAACGAACGAACGAACGAACGAAAACGAAACGAACGAACGAACGAACGAACGAACGAACGAACGAACGAACGAACGAAAGAACGAACGAAACGAACGAACGAACGAACGAAACGAACGAACGAACGAACGAACGAACGAAGAACGAACGAACGAAGAACGAACGAACGAACGAACGAACGAACGAACGAAAACGAACGAAACGAACGAACGAACGAATAACGAAGAACGAACGAACGAACGAACGAAAACGAAAGAACGAACGAACGAACGAACGAACGAACGAACGAACGAAACGAACGAACGAACGAAACGAACGAACGAACGAACGAACGAACGAACGAACGAACGAACTAACGAACGAAAAACTAACAACTAACTAACTAACTAACTAACTAACTAACGAAACTAACTAACAACTAACTAACTAACTAACTAACTAACAACTAACTAACTAACTAACTAACTAACTAACGAACTAAACTAACTAACTAACTACGAACTAACTAACTAAAACTAACGAACTAACTAACTAACTAACTAACTAACTAACTAACTAACTAACTAACTAACTAACTAACTAACTAACGAACTAACTAACAAACAAACTAACTAACAACAACAAAACAAACAAACAAACAAAAAAAAAACTAACTAACTAAGGAAGAAGGGGTGTATCTAAATTCACCGTTTGTTCCTTTTTTATCCAGAGCTTTTTGCAGCCCACATAGATATAGTAAAATAAATAGGTCAAATCCTAACGTAGGCGGATTTTTGAACTGAGGGTCTAAATATCTATATCAAATGGAAGGTCTTTTGAATGTCTTTCTTTTAATATACAGTATTTACTTACTTATTCCGTTTAATGATTAAATCAATATCTTTAATATTTTGAATAAATTTAACATTCTTTTTATTAATATATATATTTTATTGTTTGTATTACATTCGTTTCTTGATTAATAGTTTGTGGTTTGTTGTTATTGTTGTTTTATATATTTTAATAATTTTATGTTAAATTCCACAAAATTGTTATTATTAAATAATTTACAATTAATTTAGATTTGTTTTTTTTTTTTTTTGTTTAATTAAATTTAGCATTTGATTACAATGATATTTAGATTAATAATTTAAAATTTGATTAAATATATAGTTAGTAGTTATTACAATGTTTATATGGAGTGTAGTTTTTATTTTATTTATTTATTTATTTTTTTTTTTAATTATTAATAATATTTGAATATTTAAATAGTTTTCTTTAGGCTTTTTTTGGATGACAGTGATTTTATTTAATTAATTTTATTTTTCTTTGTTATTATTAAATTTTGTCATTATAAATAACACATAAATAGTTTTAATGCAAGTTTGTTATTTGTATTTTTTTAATATTTTATTTAAATTTTATTGTTTTTTTTTTTTTGGTATTAAATGGCATTTTCAGTCAATTTTACTACTACAGTTAGAAATACATATGTTTGTAAATTATTAAAGAAATAACAAGAAAAATAATAAATAACATTTAATTATATAAACAGTTTAGGTTAAATTATTTTAAAATTTTATAATTTTTTTTATATTATATTAATTAATATAAACAAATTAATTTAACAACAAAAACACTTAGAATTTTTTTTGGTTATTTTTTGGGCGGTTATTTATCAGAAAAGGGTTGACTACAATATTTAGGTTTAATTTTTTGTTTTAAATTTTTTTTTCAAAGTTTTTTTAATAAATTTTTAAGTTAAATTATATATTAATATTTATTATTAATTACTTTATGTTATTAAAGTATAATTATTTTATTTTTTTGTAATTAATTTATTTATTTGTCTGCCACAGCATAAATTTTTATTAATTTAAAAATTTATTTTTTTTTTTTAATTATTTTATTTTTTTGTTTTAAATATTTACATAATTTAACTTAATTTACTCACAAAAGCATTTAATGATTTGCTATTTTTTATGTCATTTAACATATTTACATTATAATTTTATTGTTTTTATAATTTTATTTATTTACTTGCTATTTGAACTAAAAAAATTATTTAAATTTAACTAAATTTTTTTTTTTAAACAAAAATCTTTTTTCTTCTGCTAATTATTAAGTTGTTTATTATTGTCAACACAGCCTGAGAGTGAGTTAGGCTCTCATATAAAAATTAAAATTCATAATTCTTTTTTCAATTAAAACTAATCGACTGCAGTTTAAACATTCGAATTCTAGAATTGCATTTTTTCAAAGAAAATTGCACTTTTCATGGAAATTTTGCATTTTTTAATAGAAAATTGCATTTTTTCATATCAAATTGCATTTCTTATGGGAATTTGCATTTTTTTTAATAGAAAATTGCAATTTTTTTTTTAATAAAAAATTGAATTTTTTCAAAGAAAATTGCATTTTTTCAAAGAAAATTACATTTTATAAAAGAAAATTGCTTTTTTTCATATAAAATTGCATTTTTCATGGAAATTTGCATTTTTTAATAGAAAATTTAATTTTTTTCATATAAACTTGCATTTTTTTTTAATAAAAAATTGCATTTTTTCAAAGAAAATTTCATTTTTTTCATATACCTTTTTCATAGAAAATTGCATTTTTTATAAAAAATTTAATTTTTTCATATAAAATTGCATTTTTTTTTAATAAAAATTGCATTTTTTTCATATCAAATTGCATTTTTTATAAGCAATTGCATTTTTCATAGAAAATTGCCTTTTACATAGAAAACTGTTTTTTACATAGAAAATTGCATCTTTCATAGAAAATTGCATTTTTCGTAGAAAATTGCATTTTTCATAGAAAATTGCATTTTTCATAGAAAATTGCATTTTTCATAAAAAAATTGCATTTTTCATAGAAAATTGCCTTTTACATAGAAAATTGCCTTTTACATAGAAAATTGCATCTTTCATAGAAAATTGCCTTTTTCATAGAAAATTGCATTTTTCATAGAAAATTGCATTTTTCATAGAAAATTGCAATTTTCATAGAAAATTGCATTTTTCATAGAAAATTGCATTTTTCATAGAAAATTTCATTTTTCATAGAAAATTGCATTTTTCATAGAAAATTGCCTTTTACATAGAAAATTGCCTTTTACATAGTAAATGCATTTTTCATAGAAAATGCATTTATCATAGAAAATGCATTTATCATAGAAAATTGCATTTT